GGATTACATTAGTTTGGAGACACTGCTATTTGGTTTCTGTAATATCTTTTCCTATAGGTTGTTTGAAGTCTTGCACATTCACTTTAAGTTTGAAATAACACATCCCAATGATGCAATCAATGGTTCAGAAGATCCATTTCACCTCAGATAGGATTCCAGAGTGAAAGGGTCAAGTTTTCAAACTCAGGTTTGTTCTAAGAAACCCACCGGCCATCTCTGTTATGGCTCCTACTTCTTCTGAACTAGCCTTACGTATCTGACTTCTCTCAAACATCTCAAAAAACCAGTTGCTCTCATATTTCTTGAATCAAAAAAATTTAAGACCTACGAATTAATTTTTCCCCATTTTCTCCCTTTAAATACAATGCATAGCCCAGTTATGAGTATGAAAGAGTTATGGAACTCCTAGGACCACTGATGATCTCCTGGAACAATCTATTTAAAGTGAAATTCCTGGGGTGCCTGGCTGGTTCATTTGGTGGAGCATGGGACTTCTGATCGTGGGGTTGTGGGTTTGAGCCCCACGTTGGCTGTAGAGATTACTTAAAAAGAAAATCTTTAAAAAAAAAAAAAGTGAAATTCCTTTTAGATCTTCCATCAGAAGTGGAAACGATCTTTCTATCTCAAGACAATGACCCATAAAGGGAGAGCAACTCAATGGACAGCTCAATGAATTCTGATGTATGCTGTTAAATTTGAGATTAAGAGCAGAGGATCTAAGACTCTTTAAGTAAACAAAATATTTCAGTTCCATAATAAAAGTAAGGAGCAAGAGCGAGAAGGGGAGAAGTAAAAGGACTGAAAAGAGAGAAATTAAGAAAGAGGCAAGTAAAGATTGACACAAAGATTTATAGAGAAAAGGAAGACACACAGGCAGAAAGGAATACAGACCTTTTTGAGCAACACCCCCGCCTGGTGGCCATTTCAGATATTGCCACACCTGACTTAATTCCTACTGCAAGTCTGCAGTTAAGAGGCCACACAATGGCGTGGAAGGCTCTGGGAATGTGGAGTCAGAAGGCCTGAATTCCACAAGGGCCCCCATCACTGCCCAGCTAGGTCCAGTGGGTAAGTCACTTAACTTCTATAAGCCTCAGGTGCCACACTTGACTTGCCCTGCATACCTCACAGGGAACTGAAGGGAAGAAAGGAGATATCCATAAAAACTACACAAATACCGGAAATTACAACATCAAACTGTTAAAACACAACAGCAACAAAAGTAGGTAACTGTTTGCTCAACTGGCATGTGAGGCAAAGTATTCCTAATTCCCACCCTAGTCAGGAAGTACAACTGAGAAAACCAAGCCACAATATTTAAGAAATTAAAAAATAATGGAATGGGATTTCAATGAGTTACAAAGCCAATGTTTCTTTTCTAAATTCTACACCAGAAAGTTCAAAAGCTAGTTTCCAAGCCATTCATAAAGCAAGAATCCCCTTCTCCATGTCTAGAGGGGGCTCCAAACCCACAGATGATCGTTTGTCCTTTCCTGCTGACGGAGGCACTCCCACATGATGCAGTCCACATAATGCAGGGCTCATGACTGAGCCTGCTGATGAGTTTCCTTATTTTTGAGCTAGCAAATTATCACTGTGCCTGAGGTTCTTTGCCAATAATTGGCTCAACTACTGCCTATATTTCTCTTAATAATTTTTGGCATTAATATACCTACCAGAGTACAAGTAACCATCACTAACTACACTGCATCCCGCCTTTTAGCAGAACAATTTCATTCTCATGTCCTTTTCAATATGCAGGCTTTCCACACCGTGAATCAATTTTAAGAAAAATTACTTTCTCACCCGAAACCATATGCAAGTAGGGGGAATCATCCAAAGTGTACCCCAGCCATGCAGAGTTCTCCAGGGCCAGAAGGAATTATGTATCTAAGCACAAAATATGTGTGCTGTGCAGCCTTGTCTACCTTAACTCCTTGAAAGCACAGGCAAAAAAAAAAAAAAAGATATTAGACACCTCCAACCTGGACTATGGAAATAAAGGATCCATATATTATTAAAGTGTTTCAAGCTACTGAAAACCCAAAAGGTAAAACCTTCAGCTGGAAGCTATTTTAAGCCTTCTCCAAAGCCACGTTAACTCTCCAACTCTTCATAAGACAACACTTGGTAGAAACTCAGCAGCATATTCATTTAATTCACTCATTCAACTAATTTTTATATGTCAAGTCCTGTTCTTATGCTGGGGATCTGACAATAAATGAGATCAAGTTCTCTCTGCTGCAGGCTTAGTTTGGGGAGGGGGCAGGCAGACAATAATCAAATAAACATATAAGATAATGTTAAGTAACAGTAAGTGATAGGAGGAAAATAAGACAGGGTAAAGAGATCAGGGTGTAAAGTGTTGAGGGAGCTGCTACTTTAGACAAGGTAATTAGAGAAGGCCTCTCTGATGGCATGATATCTGAGCTTAAGACTCAATGAGGTGACCATGACACCACGTGGACATCGAGAAGAACACGATGGGTGGAGAGACCAGCCAGTGAAGGGGCCTGAGGAGTGAACATGCTCAGCATGTTTGAGAACAGCAAGAAGGCCAGGTTGTCTGAAGTGGAAGGTGTAAGGGGGAAAAGGAGGAGGAGGTAAAATCAGAGAGATGGTCAGAGGTCAGACGGTACGGCACCTTGTAGGCCAAAGCAAAAACTCTTGAGTTTCATTCTGAGATAAGAAGCCATTAGAGTTTTAAGTAAGGGAGAGATGGAATTAAAAAAGAAAACCATTGGGGCGCCTGGGTGACTCAGTCCGTTGAGCATCTGACTCTTGGTTTCAGCTTAGGTCATGATCTCAGGGTCCTGGGATCAAGCCCAGCACGGTCACTGGGCTCCGTGCTCAGTGGGGAGTCTGCTTCTCTCCCTCTCCCTCTGCCTCTCCCCACCGCTCTCTCTCTCAAGTTAATAAATCTTAAAAAAAAAGAAAAAGAAAAAGAAAACCACTGCAGAAATGGGAAGACATGGAGTCCACTGGAACATTCCAGAAGACAAGTGACAGTGATGGTTACACTAGGGTGTTAGTGAGAAGGGGCCAAAGCAATCAGATTCAGGGTGTACTGTGAAAACAGGGCTGGGATGGAGGACCAAGATGTGGTGTGAGAGAGAAAGAGGTATGGAGAATAAGCAAGGGTTTTGGCCTGAGCAGCCAAGTTCCAGGAACTTAAGATGGGACACTGAAAAAGGAGATTTTGGAAGGGAAGAAATCAGCAACTAAGAGGCCTCCTCTTGTGTGAACCAGGCTGAAGTGGAAAGAATGACTCAGAGAACCTCAGAGTTCACCTGATTCTGTGCTCTGTGCACAAACCCACCATCTGAAAATGTTTCTAAAAAGTGTGCATTTGATATCTGCTTGAAAAACCAGGGGGCGCCTGGGTGGCTCAGTTGGTTAAGCGTCGGCTTTTGGCTCAGGTCATGATCCCAGGATCTCCATGCTCGGCGGGGAGCCTGCCTCTCCCTCTTCCCCTGCTTGTGCTCTCTCTTTCTCAAATAAATAAATAAAATCTTAAAAAAAAAAAAAAAGAAAGAAAGAAAAAAGAAAAACCAGAGAGGGAATAACCACGGTAAGAGCCATCATTTCTTGAATGCTTACTAATTACCAGGCATCATGGTAAGCACTGAACACAGTATAGTTAATCCTCACACATGACAGCACTTAACCACAGTACCTGGCACATGGGAAAATATCATCAAATCTTATCCAGAGTATTTGTGAGGTATGTAACATTTTAAGCTGAACAATAACTTTAATAATTATTTCACTAACTAGAGGCTCTATTTCTTTTTCAAATCCTTGATTTAATTTATATTAGGATTTCTATTGTTTCTCAAGCTTAATAGGTAGGTAGTTTTAGTACTTCCTTCCCCCTTTCACAAAGAGGGCAGGCATTCCAAGGTCCTAACTTTACGTAGAGATTCCAGGTTCAGCTACCTCCTGAAGGCCCATTTTCATATTATATGGCTTCGTAAGCATTAAAACCCTCATACCTACACCTAAGGTTCCTTCCATATTCCCCTGAGATGTTGTTTTACCACTTCACACACACTAGCTTTGAGCTACTGTGATTTAGGTACCTGGGATTTCTCTTTTTTCTTTCAAGTTCATCCAGGTATTTGCTACCTCCAAGTGTTTAAAGAAGGGCAGCCTGGGGGTGCCTGGGTGGCTCAGTCGGTTAAGCGGCTGCCTTCAGCTCGGGTCATGATCCCAGGGTCCTGATCAAACCCCGCATCGGGCTCCCTGCTCATTGGAGAGCCTGCTTCTCCCTCTCCCTCTGCCTGCCACTCTGCCCACTTGTGCTCTCTCTCTCTCTGTCAAATAAATAAATAAATAAAATCTTAAAAAAAAAAATAAAGAAGGGCAGCCTGAGTTAGCTTAGTCTGACATATAACCAGAACCGGAGGTCCACTATTATTTTACATATGAGGAAATTGTACCTTAAATAGGTAAAGTAACTTTGAATTCAGATCTCTCTGATTCCAAGTCCATGCTCTGGTTAGCAGATACCAAAGTTTCTCCTACTCACATTACAAAGTGAATACAAGGAGATGCTACATTTTTTTTTTTACCTTAAAAAATTATACAAATCATAAATACCATTGAAAGTGATAAAAATGAGTTTCCCTCATTAATTATTAGTTTCATTTGAGGGAATTTCTGACCATAACCACAACTATGTAAAGTTAAAGAACACAGTGGGAATCATGAAACCTGAGTCCTGCCACTGCTTAGCTGTATGACGCTAGGAACTACAGCCTCTTTTTGTTTCCTGGGTCTTCAAAATGAGAAGAATACCTTCCCTAGAGTCCAAAGGCTGGGATTTGAACAATGAGATTTAATGCATAGGGTATATAATATGTAAGAAAATATGTGGAAAAAAATATACAATACAAACATCATTATTATTAATGTATTATAAATGTTCATAGTTTGATCAGGAATAATAAGACATCAACTAAACAAAAGAATCTAAATTAATGCAAATATTATTTTACCTTCATGCTGCAAGCTAATTCCATTAGTTTTTTTGCATTTTCTTCTGAGCGGTATCTCTTAGGAAGCTGAACCCTGAAGAACTTCAAGGCACCTTCAAAGTCTGTCAACAGCAAGTCATCCTTAGAAGTCTTGAAGAAAGAAAGAAAACACAACCATGTATAGGAAAAGTTCTTTGCTATGAAGATGCACAAGAAGCATTTTAAAACACCAGCACCTTTACAATCCCCAGAAGATACTTCTTAGCCAGTGCCTGAGTCACTGTGAGGGCCACGGCTACCGCACGGTGGCTGCTTAGGAGATCAAGACCAACATACTTCGAGCGCTGGACAGGGGATGTCACTCAATTTACAAATAAATGTGTACCTTTAATAATCCAAGGGCGACATTAAAAATCACACTTATTCCCTAAAAAAGAAAACACAAAAAGAAGATTTTCAGTGATTACATCTGGACCAGTCAGCTGTCTGTCCCCAGAATGCCCCACAATTTTAAAGAAAGTATAAAAACTAAGTAAAGAAATGGAATATCTTGAAAATATCTTGGAAAATAATAATTACAGATCTGCTACTGAAAAACAGCTTAAAATAGACCCAGTCTCCCATTCTTCTGGACTTTTTTAGCCCTAGTCTCACAATCAACAAGAAAGAATGCTTTTCCAAAGTATTCTATGCTTCCCAACCAAAGCATCTGACCCATAAAATTGTGATCTTTCAGGAAATAACCGCAGGTGGCCTTTTCCTTTATCTTGTGCTACCCCACTCCAAATACAGCAGCAGTCACTCTGTCTGTGAACCCTCCATCCCACAACAGAACCTGCTCAGGGCTCCCTCAAATCTGCCTTTCATCAAATCAGCTAACCATTCTGAGAGTGCTAGGGGCAAAGGAAAGATAAGGGGAGGCACGAAGACCTGCTAAATTCTTTAAGTTCCTGGACGTTGGTTTCTATAACTAACACTCTCCCTCAAGGGTTTTCTGAGCTAATTAGTTGAAAAGTTCATTTAAATTACTTAGCATGACCAGGCCGGTGGTAACTACTTAAAACAAATGGTTGTTTATAATGCTGAGAAATTATAAAACTTAAAGGTCTGAGACTAGCAGTTGATTACATAAACTATGGAATCCCCAAAGAATGAGATACTTGGCAGCAGGTAAGAATAATAGTGTATTTGGTATCAGTGTTTCTGACAGTGTTTTAAGCTGGGTAGAAGGTACAAATGCTTTAATGGATTTTTGTATGCCTTGAAAACGGCATAATTAAACGTGAAGAAGGATGGTATAGATGTGTGTCTATAAGTGTTCAAGTATATGAAATGAAAAGAGGTTATTGAAGAGCATAGACATAAAATATATACTTACAGAGCCATAATTACATTATTACATAATACTCCATATGAAAAAAGTTATTCTGTATAGAAGTAACACATGTACATAAGTAAACACAAAATAAGGCTGAAAGAATATATACCAAAATGTTAAGAGTTACTCTCTAGAGAGTGGGATTAAAGTATTTTAAAATCCTTTTGCTTGTGTTTTCCAGTTTCTGTAATAAATATGTATTATTTTTGAAATTATTTTTTTCTTAAACACATACACCCCAAAACTATGCTGTGGCAAAGACTGTTATGTATTCTGATATCTTATTTTTGTTTTAGTAACAGACCCCCTAATTGTTAGCAAATTCCTACCCAGCTTTTAAAAAACTCTCCTTTGTGGCTAGATGTGGTCAGGCCAATAAGAGATAAGTGAAAATTTGGGTAGAACCTCCAGGAAGTCTCTTTTAAAGAGGGGACACATCCTCCCCTGTCCCCTGGCCCTCTAGGAAAGGCAGGTAACTGCCAACGTTCTGGCTTCTTTCACATGAGAGAGAAATGTACCTCTACTTTATTTAGTCATTGTTATTTTGGGTTTCTTCAATAAATGCAGCCAGACCTAACAGTAATACAAATGTGTAACAGTAGGTTGTTTGATTGTTTTTTCAGCAGAGAACACCTTTAACAAAACTTGATTGTTAGCTTTAGCCCAAGGGAGAGTTACTTAAATCTGGATTTTTGAGCACAAAAATAAAATTAACTAAGAAGAAATTCTATTTTAATGGAGCTGACACAGGAAGATACTGAAAACAAAAGCCAAAGTGCTGTGGCCTCTGATACATACCTCACATAAAAGCAGGTCAATGATATGGAAGACCATGTAGAGAGGGAATTTTGCAGTGAAAAGTGTAAGAAACCACTGGGAGGCATACATGTGCGCTTCAAGGCTTATATCCAGGAAGTGGTTGTACAGGTCAGGGATGTATTCCTGAAATGGCAAACTAATTAGTTTTGGGCACATACACAGATGTTCAACTCCCACTTGGGAGGCTCATAAATCTGCCAGGAATAGGCCAAAAAAGTCACATATTTGTGCTTTCCTACAAACCTCCAATGTGCTCAGAAGAACACTTATTATCTGACACTTGGCTCCCCTTTCCAGCCCACTAACTAGCTCAGAGGAGGAATCCCCAAGATGGTGACAAATATTTGGAATGAGAGTTTTTCTTTCCAAGTTTATGAAATGTTTGGAAAAGTTTGTTTCACTTTTATTATGATATTCCTAACCAGTTAGCTTCAGAGCCTTGGCAGATATTTCTTGACTTAGTTTGCTGTGTTAAAGGCCCCTACAAAGTCATCTGATCTTTTGGGTGAAAACCTAGCTCACACCCATCAGGTTCACACCTTATTAATCTTGGCATCGTCATCACATAGTGAGAAATGAAAAACATCAAACCAGTCCTTAACCCTGGATGGCTAAGGCAATCACCACTGGTCCTTAGCACCAGTTCATCAACCTGGTTCTCCCAAGTCCTGCACTCTTAGTGGTAAATGCAAGCTGGTTTCTCTTTTTACCTGCATGAGGCGCTCCAACTGGTAAAATTTGCAATGTAAATCTTCAAAGTTTTGCTTGAAAAGTTCCCTGAGACCATAGTCAAACATGATCTTGACCAGAACACTGAATGCCTGTTCTTCAGGCATCTGTAACAGATAGGGAAAGGGGTGGGGATCACAAAACATATACAGAAGTTTTCTCAGTATGTTAATTCATCCTTCCACTCCTATCTAAAAACTAGAAAATTTCAGTGATACGTAGTAACTCAGGTAGTTGTGTTTTATGACAGTCGTTCACTCAACCAAGGGATATTAACGACGCCTATTCTTTGTCAGATAGTGTTGCTATCCTCGAGAAGCTTCCCATACAATCAATCAGTACATAGTAAGTATGAATTAGGTAGAACTCATATTCACAACTTCCTTGAATTAGGCAGAAAGATCAGTGGAGATACAAGAACAAGAAAGCCTGAGTCTGCCTGAGGGAGCCAAGAACAGGCTTGTAGGACCATAATTGAACTGACTAGCAAGAGGCTGCTTCACAAGTACAGGCTTCATCTTCCTCAAAACATTTCACCTCCTTAGCTATTTTCTTCTTCCTCGTTGTTACAAACACGGCCAGTTACAGCAGAACCTTAAATATTCTAAGGTTTAACAGTAATGTTCAAAGTACTTTGTAATGTTTATGGTAATACTTAAAATACTACACAACCCCTCACTTCACTTCTATTTACAGATGTTACCCATTTATAATAATACCTACATCTTTCATAGCTTTGTGGAAAAAATATTTCCCTGATAACCTGGCAAAATGTCTAGTTTTCAAAATAGAAAAAAGTACTGGAAATGTTATTTAAGGCTTGGTATGACTGTAGCAAGCCTTCAAAATGTCAAGAAGGCGGGCGGGCTTCTGTGGAACAAGGGGATGAGGTGGGCTGAACACAGACATCACTGGAATAAAGCAGAGCTAAAGAACAAATGAGATTAAGTAATAAAGGAGAAAAGCACAGCAAATTATTAATGGACAAGTAAGAGCATTTGGAGCAAAGGACCAGATCTCAGAGGTCTCTATCATGGAAGGCAATTTCATAATTTCTTCCACATGCTGAGGGATACTTGGTCTGCCCCAGAGTAGCATTTCTGATGTCAGGTAGCACAATTGCTTTTCCTCTGAAACAAGCATTTATCTCAACACAATGGCAAGCAGTGCAGAGTTCAAACCAAGACACTGTGGATTTATCTGGGAAACCCATTTTATTTTTTTAATTTTTTTCCAAAGATTTTATTTATTTATTTGACAGAGAGCGCGCGAGAGAGTGCACAAGCAGGGGGACCGGCAGGCAGGGGCAGAAGGAGAAGCAGGCTCCTGCCAAGCAGGGAGCCAGATGTGGGATTCGATCCCAGGACCCTGGGATCATGACCTGAGCTGAAGGCAACTGCTTAACCGACTGAGCCACCCAGGCGCCCCAGGATACCCATTTTAAAGGGGCTGTGATACTTAAATGGGGACAAATGTTCTTGGACTGAAGTTGAGAACAAAGACAAACCACACAAGCCTGAGAGACTCTGAGATATAAAGTCTTACTAAAACAACAAAATTTTAAAACTTTACCCTTTGATGGATGTTAATTAGCTTGACTGTGGATCATTTCGCAATGTATAGCCTATCAACTCATCAAATTATACACCATACACACACACACATTTTTATTTGTCAATTACATCTCAATAAAGCTGGGGAAAAAACTTGACCCTTTTATTAATGTCATAGCTTTATCATACTTTTACATGGTTACTAATATCAATAAGCTAGGTTCTCACAGAAAGAAGATACGAAGTGGTTTTGGTTTTACTTGTATTACAAGCTATATAAAACGGCTTAAAACTCTTCCAAAGCTTCCCCTTGTTTAGGGAAACAAAATCCAAACTCCTTGAGTTGGCCTCTCCAGCTCCCTCCCCATCCCTCATCACAGGTAATGCTCCAGTCACATTGCCCAGCTTCCAGTTCCTTTCATAGGCCAAGTCTTCCCCATTTCAGTGCTTCTATAGGTTGTACTATTCTCTTTGGTGGGAGTGCTCTACTCTCCACTTTTTCTTTTAAAATAGTTTTCTTATTTTCATAATAATGTTAGCTTAAAAAAGTTAAATGATACAGATAAGTACAAAAGAAAATGGATACCTCTTATTTTTCAGCATTCACCTTAATTAAAGGTTACCTCCCCAGAGAAGCCTGTGATATAAATAAGGCTCCTTTGTTACAATCTTGCATCAAACTTTTTACTATACCTTCATGTCGCCATTGAGGTAATAAAGACATACTTCTGTGACTTTCTGATTATAGCTAGTCAGCTTCACTAGCTCTGTATCCACAAAGATTGGGACCCTGTCTACTTTATTCACTCCTCATCTCTAGCATCTACTGTGCTAAAGATGGAGGTGCCCACAAACTCTCTTAACATCACCTGTGTGGTGTTTTTCACCCAGCACTTTAATTTTAATCATGAGGAAATGGTAAGACAAATCAAGAATGTGGAATATTTTACAAGACAATTTGCTTGAATTTTCCAAGACTGTCAGTGGCATAAAGCACAAGAAAGCAGGGGAGGGGAGTAGTTTGGGGAGTAGTTTAGATGAAAAAAGTAAAGAAAAATGACACTAAATGCACTGCTTGAATCTTCACTGATCTTGGTTAGGGGGAAAAAAAGCTATAAAGGACTTTACTGCGTAAACAATTGGGGAAAATCAAATGCGGACTCTGTGTAAGACATTACTGAATCAGTGTGGAATTTCTTGGATGTGACCACAGTATTATGGTTATGTCCTTAGGAGATACATGCTCAAGTATATAGAAGTGAAGTACCCTGATGTTTGCTACTGATTTTCCAAAAATAATTTCAAAAAATGTTTTTTAGTAAAAAATAAAATTTGTGTAAAAAAAGAGGAAAAGAGAAGCAGACAGAGAAAGTGTGGTAAAATATTAATTGGTAAAATAGAAGAAGAGTTTATGGGTATTCCACCTTAATGATTTTTCAGTTCTGCTGTGGATTTGAAAGAATACCAGTAAGTCAGAGGGTAAAGGTCTTTGCTGAATAAATAAATGAATAAAATGGCACTAAAAGAAATCCAGCTTCTCTGCTTCCTTCCCACCACTAATACACAGATCCCCAAACAAATACTAATGACAGTGGCTACTTTATAGAATATAAAATGTCCCTAAGGGTTCAATCAGCCAAGACAATCATTCTAGCAATAAAAATGAACTCCACTCTTGTACTAGTGCTCAACACTGTCATTTATTCTTACCGTGTTTCTCTTCCATGAGGATGTTAAATTAAGGAAAAGGTTTCCAGCTATAGGAGTAAAACTCATGCACTAGAGTCTGGCCAAAGGCCATATAAAACCATGCTCAAGTCTAAGGCTAGTAGTATAAGCTGAGGCAGGTCATGTGTAAGTCAAGACAGACGACTTAATAATACTCACATGGAGAAGCAGAACAGCAGCGAGAAATGACTGGCCCTGGCAATAGCCAATCTCTTCATCATACACAGAATATGCCTGGAAAAAGAAAAACACAGGAGGTATAAATAAATAAATATAGTCACTCATGGGCCATACTTGCCTATAGGACCTTGAACACAGGAACCTGGAAGACACCCACACTCCACTATGGCATTTTGATGGTCAGTGAATGATGCAAATATTTCTGATTTTTTTTTTAAATTTTTAAAAAAGATTTTTTTTTTTAATTTGAGAGAAAGAGAGAGCACGAGTAGGGGAGGGAGAGGGGGAAGCAGACTCCCCACTAAGCAGGGAGCCTGATGCGGGGCTCCATCCCAGGACCCTGGGATCATGACCTGAGCTAAAGGCAGATGCTTAACTGACTGAGCCACCCAGGCACCCCTCAATTTTTTCTCTACAATAAACACAACTGTCGCCACACCACTTCCCAGGAGTAGAAAAAGTTAAGCAAAAACCACTTCAGCACTAAAAAAAGGTTGCCATGACTCTGTCTTGGCCCTTGCTTTGCCCTCTTCTGTCTGAAAAATTTGCTCTTCCTTCAGGTTCCAAACACTCCATTACCCCAGGGTTCCCCCTCTTCTCTGTACTCTGACGGTACTTGCTACACAAGTACAGTTATTATAGCACTCACCACACTGCATTTTATTTTATTTTTTTAAAGATTTTATTTATTTATTTGCGAGAGAGAATGAGAGACAGAGAGCACGAGAGGGAGGAGGGTCAGAGGGAGAAGCAGACTCCCTGCCGAGCAGGGAGCCCGATGTGGGACTCG